CCTACTTTAACTTTGCTGTATTATTAAGGGTTTATAGTTAGTATCACTGACCTGTCTTTTTTTTCTTCTTCTTCTTCTTTTTTTTTTTTTGAGATGGAGTCTTGCTCTGTCTGGAGTGCAGTGGCACGATCTTGGCTCACTGCAACCTCTGCCTCCTGAGTTCAAGCAATTCTCGTGCCTCAGCTTCCCTGCTAGCTAGAATTACAGGTGTCTGCCACCACACCCAGCTAATTTTTGTATTTTTAGTAGAGAGGAGGTTTCACCGTGTTGGCCAGGCTGGTCTCAAACTCCTGGCCTCAAGTGATCTGCCTGCCTCAGCCTCCCACAGTGCCTGGTCTGTCCTTGATGAGCACACACTACAAGACAAGGACACTAAATATGTCAACATTCTTCCATTTGAAGAGCTCCTCTCCCCACTTCCATCCAGCAACATCTATAAGCATTTCATACACTTGGCCAGGTGTGGTGGCTAACACCTGTAATCCCAGCACTTTGGAAGGCTGAAGTGGGAGGATTGCTTGAAGCCAAGAGTTTGAGACCAGCCTGGACAACATAGCAAGACCCATGTCTCAAAAAAAATCAATAAAAAGCTCTTAAATTAGCTGGGCACAGTGGGATGTGCCTGTAGTTCCAGCTACTCCAGAGGCTGAGGCAGGAGGATCGCTTGAGCCCAGGAGTTCAAGGCTGCAGTGAGCTGTGATCACGCCACTGCACTCCAGCCTGGGCGACAGAGTGAGACCCTGTCTCTAAATAGATCGACATATAAGAATTTCATCTCTCACTTTGGCTTTCTGTAGAAACTCATTCCATATGAAACTGCCTGTCTACAATAAAAACAGGTAGAGACCAGGCAGTATTATTCTCCCCCTGGGTCTGGAAAGTGACTTATCACCCACCCCCACCCTCCAGTGACCATAAGCAAAGCTCTCCCTGAGGCCATCTCTCCTGAAGGTACCAACACTTGAACCAAAAATCTATTTGTTTTATAGGTAGAAGCTAAAAGCAGTCTGTTCAATGAACGCGTCCAATTTCTATTGCCTGGAAGCAATCGCATATTTATTACTGACCTGACAGTTTGACCTACCACAACCATAAACCAAATGAGCACTATCTTGCTCAGCTTTAAAGACAGTTATCAGTCACATAATAACAAAAACACTCTGAGTGGCTGCTGGGATGCTTTTTTTTTTGCGTTATGATTGGCAAAGGCAGTGATGTGCGTTCTCAAATGAAAAATCAATGAGAGGCCGGGCATGGTGGCTCAAGCCTGTAATCCCAGCACTTTGGGAGGCCGAGGCGGGTGGATCACGAGGTCAAGAGATCGAGACCATCCTGGTCAACATGTGAAACCCCGTCTCTACTAAAAATACAAAACATTAGCTGGGCATGGTGGTGCGTGCCTGTAATCCCAGCTACTCAGGAGGCTGAGGCAGGAGAATTGCCTGAACCCAGGAGGCGGAGGTTGCAGTGAGCCGAGATCGTGCCATTGCACTCCAGCCTGGGTAACATGAGTGAAACTCCGTTTCAAAAAAAAA